ACATCAAGGACTTGGGTCCTCACAAATATTTCTTGGGGATTGAAGTAGCCCGTTCTAGCAGTGGGATATCATTGTCCCAGCGCAATCTTTTGGATACTGGTATGATAAGGTGCAAGCATGCTTCTACTCCTATGGATCCGAATATGAAACTTTCGGCTAAATCTAGTGAGTTGCTTTCTGATCCATTTTGATACCAGTGATTGGTAAAACGTTTTATCTATTTGATTAATACACGACCAAATTTGGCATTTTCTTTGAGTGTGGTTGGTTAGTTCATGCATGCGCCTCGTATTGCGCACCTGGATGTTGTTCACCACATCTTGAGATATCTCAAGTCTTAACGTGGTTTCGGTTTATTCTTCATTGCTAGGATTCAAATAGGGTTGTCCTACTTTATTGATGCATATTACACAAGGTTATTGACTGATAGATGCTCCACTTCTAGGGTCTGTACTTTCTATGGTACTCATCTTCTGTCATGGAAAAGCAAGAAACAAGTTGTTGTTTCTCAATCTTCTACTGAAGCTAAGTACAGAGCCATGGCTCATGGGACATGTGAGTTACTATGGCTTTGGTCCATTCTTACTAAGTTCGGCTTTGAGGGAAATATTCCATCCAAGTTGTTTTGTGACAACAAGTCTACCATATTACTTGCTTCTGTCTCTGTGCTTCATGATCGTACTAAGCATATTGAAGTGACATTCATTTCACTTGGGAAAAGGTTAGAGCAGACATTGTTTGTCCCTCTTTTGTTCCATCTTCTAATTAGACTGCAAACATCTTCACCAAATCTGTAGGACCATCTCTTCTTCAGTCTTCCGTTGGCTACCTGGGTTTGGGGTGTTGGAATATAGAATAGATTATATTTAGGAGATCCCCGTGATTTGTATAAATTTCGGTTATCTAGGGATTTGAGTATGTAATTATTTATTTTCTTTTATGTCTATTTTGTGTATCATATATTCATTATATATAGACATGGTATCGCCTACACTAGGATAAGCCAATTATATACAAGTTTCTTCTATCCAACACTCAACAAAATTTGTTCTAAGTCAAGAACTAGGAAAACATTGGAGATGTATCTTGTATCCATCTTGGTCTCTATGGAAATAGTATTCTTTCCCTTTGTTTGGACTAAGGCACCATTCCCTATTTTTACTTAAGAATTGGAGGAAACACCCATTTTCACAAAAATGCTTCTCCGATTATGTAACTATCAAGAAATCATACATGCTTCTTTTGATCTGATGTTGTATGACAAGCATGGAACATGTGCCCTTCACTTTCTTGCTCCCTAGGGGAATTATCTTATTGATTGTTCTTGACTTGACAATCCTTTTTGACATGACCAAATTTATTGCAATTGAAACATTGTGGTTTTTGTCAAAACCCACAATCTTTATCAACATGACTACTTCAGTTGCAAATTCCACACTTTTGTTGAGTGGACTCTTCATTCTCCCTTCTTTGAGAATTATACTTTCCTTTTCCTTTTGTATTTCTTTCTAGATCTCTTCCTTGGGAACTAAAAGTACTAACATTGAGCTTGGATTGAAAGGCACTTTTAATTGACTTTTCAGATTGTATACTCGATCTTTTTTCAAATGTTTTAGTTGAACCCATCAATTCTTACTCAAACCAGCAAGATGTCTAATTTCATTTGATTCACAAGTTCCATAACTCTAGAAAAGTAATATTTTAACAATTTCATCTCTCAACTTTTTTTAAAATGTTCAAAATCTCTTCTCAAGGATTGAAGTTTGATGGTTCTTACCTTCAAGTTGCCTCTATATTCTTTTTGAAGAATATCCCGTGCCTCATTTGCTTTTGTAGAATTGATAATCTTTGAAAAAATTGCTTCTGAAACTCCTTGTTGAATCAATGAGAGAGCCTTTGAATCCTTCTTCCTTTGCTTTTTCAATTGTCCCTATTGGGCATTTGTCAAAGCTCCTTCATTTTTGGGTTTATCAAATCCATTTTCAATAATATCCCCGAGATCCATATAGATAAAGATAGTTCTCATACCCAAAATCAAAGTTTTCACCATCAAAGGTAGGAGCAGGTACATTTTGGTTGTTGGAATTTGCCATGGTCATCGGCTTTTGTGAGACTTGTTGTCCTGTGTCTGATCTCTATGCCTAGCTTATTAATTCTTGACCCAACCAAGCTCTGATATCACTTTTTTAGCTTTTTGATAGAAAGTTCCTCAATGAGGAAACATTGGCCATGTTTGGTTTGTGTTTCTGAAACGATTTTTTAATTTTTTTAATTAAAAAATAGAAACTAGTTTGGCAAAAATAAATACGAAAAATATTTTTATGAATTTTTTAAAATTATTTCTCCCCTCAAAAAAGATAAACCTGTATAAAAAAGATAAAACTCTATAAAAATAGTAAATGCTTTTAATTTTTTTCATTTTTTTCACGAAACTAATTTTTATTTTTTATTTTTTTAAATAATCTAAAAACAAATTTCTGAAAATTAAACCAAACATGACCATTGTTTATTGTATTGATCTACTTTGCTCATAGGCTTACTTCTTTTTGTATAGAAGGTCATAAATAAGTTCAATGAACAAGATCCATGAAACTAAACAACCTTTCAAAGAACTAGGTACATGAAGAATGTAGACATTGTATCTAGAATAAAATATATGAATACAAATATGCAATGTAACCAATGCATTCAATATATGAGATTAATTTTAACACTAGATACATGAGAAACACGTGACATAGATTCTGTTTTCTTAATTTCTTATGTTAATGCAATAATTTCCAAATATACCAGTTCAATGATTCTATTTTAGTCATTTGTTATTAGTATTAAATTTCCCTGTGCCTATATATTGTGAAATTCTATGTTTGGACATTCTTTGTTGTTCCAATTTCTTTTAAAATTTTTAAACTCATTGTTGACGGTAACGCTCCGATATTTATACCAAATCATTTGTTACCAATCCGTTATTCTAATCCAATTTCAGGCCACTCATGTGAACAATAAATAAAGTAAATAATTTTGTAAACTGAAATCCGTCACATTCTCATAGATTCCTCTTCAAGTTCTTTATAATGATTTACAATACACAGAAATACATATAAAAAAATTAAATACATCCAAATTGCCATAAAGGCTTACACCTTTCAAGACTAAGGGCTTTGATTTCAACAAATAAAATCCTAACTCGACAAACAACATCAAAGAAGTTTCAGCGCTCCATGTTAAACTCCATTCACTTTTCAACGATATCATGGTTCACTTTTATCACCTAGAATTTTAGGATGTCCAGCCCATAAAAAGGGGGTGAACTTTTACGTCCAATAGGAAATATACTTAACAACATTTGTGTATGTTCAATATGATTATACTCATGCAATGTCATGTCATGCATACAACTTAACTTTATTTGGAAACCAAATTGTGAAATGCATAATTTGTAACCCATATTGACTCAACTCATTAACCATTGTCATAACCAAGAACTTTCATTTTTTTAATAAACTCCACGTAAGATATCTCAAATACTCCCCACATTTATTGGCCACCAAACACAGTAAGGCAAGTGGGCACCTCTTACTTTTTGAAAGCCTCCACATTTACCGCCCACCAAGTACGGAGGGGCAATTGGGCACCTTTACCAACATACCAATAACATCCCAACATTTTCCGGCCTCTGAGCACGGGAGGGCAATTGGGCACCTCAACACACGCATTTCCGAAACCCCGCACACACCATTAAATAATTCAATACTTGATCCGACACCACGTAAATGCGTTGCAATGCATGAGTTTCCAAACATTCCTCTTTGTCCAAAATTTCCTTTTAATTACATAAGAATTCAACAAATAAAAACTAATTAAATATTCTCATTTTCAAGATTCCAAATCCTATTCTTTACCAACAATAATCCCAAACAAAATATTAGTTTACATCCTTCCAACATTCCAAGTGTTTACACAATTCAACTTCTTTAAACCACCAATAATATCATCATAGATCATAAATTTATCCAACTCACAAATCCACATATAAAATCAATTAAATTTTCAAAGTAAAGTCCCAATTTGTTCGATCCCTCTTTTAAAACATCACAAAACCTAGGGTTTCAAGAAAGATTGGGGGGTTTTGCTCATTTCATCATTAAATCCACAAATCATTAAATGTTATTCATTAATATACCAAAACATTCAACACATATCAAAATCTTCAGTGAAAACCCCGTATTTGTACATAAACAACCTTTCATTAAAGCTTTCTAACTCATAATCACCCCAAACCCCCAAAATGTCACAAAATCATACCAAATCATATATATATTTATAGAGAGAGTTAAGAAAATCCCCTACCTCCAAAATGTGAGCAAACAACGAAGACCCAAGCACGAACTCCGACGAAATCGTAATCGAACCGGTCAATAACAGGATCTACATTTCTCCTTCACTCTTCTTGTGAGATCTATGGTTGATACTTAGTATAAAGAGATGAAATCAAGGGTTTGAGGGCTAGGGTTTTCGGACATAGAGGAGTGAGAGAGAGAGAGAAAAGTGAGAAAATGAGCAAAAAGTGAGTTTAATACTGGCTGATCCCAAACAGACTGCTCGAGCGATGAAATCTTCGCTCGAGCGCAGATTCCAAACTCTCAGAAGTTCAAACTAAACAAAGGCAGACTGCTCGAGCGATAAATCCTACGCTCGACCAAACTTCAACATCTCCCAGAATCTCAGACCTGCAAAGTACTAGAAGCTTCACAAGACCGCTCGAGCGACTATTCCATTACTCGAGTCATGAGAAAGAAAGAGAAATTTTTTGGAGTGCTACATTGACGGTTATTATTCTCCTAATTTATTTTTGCGATTATCAGTAGTATTCTGTTCAAAATATCATGTGAAAAGTTTATCTAAATGACTCTATTAGTGTCTATCACTAGGATAGATTTAGTTACACATGTACCAGTCTTTGGTTAGTAGTATTTTGTTATGTCCTATTATGGGTTGAAGTGGTTATGGGGTCATCCAAGCATCAAATCAATATGAATTATGAATTTAATGAAAGTTTGGTTAGGATTCATAGTAGGGTGACCGAAAATCTTTTTGCTATTAAGAAGGAAAAAAAATCTGGGTTATGTTTGCAAAGCACCACCCATGGTCTCTATCTGATGTAGTCTGGAGATTAGAATAGATTGGCAGAAACGGTACTTTCAATATGCCTTTGAATTAAGAAAACATTAACACAGTGAATCATTTTGTGGCTTTACTCGAACTCAATATAAACCCTCATAGGGTAAAAGATGTAACAGCGGACTGTTCTTTCCGTCATTTTTGTCTTTCTCAGCACTTGCTGGTAGAGCATTCTCTACGTGTTTCTGTATTTGTGTAACATATTGATTTCGAAGCATATTAAATAGGAATTGCTTGATTTATTGACAAGCTTTCTGATTTTTGTTTACAGAGTATCAGAAGCACTACCCTCTGTATCCATCTGATCAAGTCTGGAGATTATAAATGATTTTCAGAAATTGTGCTTTCCATAACCGTTTGAGTAAGGAATGCATTTGCACCGTGAAGGATTTTGTGGATATACTCCATATAAATTCTGCGTGGCTAAAAGAGGTAATAACTGACTGATATTTCTTTCCTTGATTTTTACCTTTTGCAGCACTTGCTGGTAACATGCTCTACCCGCTTTTTTTCTTCTTCTTTTTCTACTTCTCTTCTGTATTTGTGTAACATTTTGAGTTCGAAATGCCTCCTTCCATATAATGTTGCTTGATTTATCAATAAGCTTGTTCATGCATTTTGTGTACGAGCTTAATTTATTCAATTTTATCTATGGTTTAATAGTTATGTTAACATTGAAAAGTCATGTTTGTTATTTATTTGTTGAATAAGGGAAGAAAAATGCTAGGGATACTAACAATCTTACTAACACACTCATAAGTTGATGTGAGTCACCATACCAAGTGATGGTTGATCTTATCAAAACTTATGAGTGTGTTAGTAAGATTGTTAGTAAATATGTAAGTATCCCTAGCATTATTGATAAGGGAATAGGTTCAAAGATAGACTTATCCCACTTGTTATCCTACAGTAGGTCTAGCCTATTGTGTTGTTTGACTTGGAGAGCCAAGAACCGAAGTTGAAAGGGCTACTGACATGACTGTGGTTATATCTCAGTTCTAGTTTTCTGAGAACACCATGTTGAACACCTTTCACTCATGTGACACGACAAGAGAGCAAATAAGTATACAAATCTGTAAGAGATAACAGTAAAACCAACACCAATATTATTAAATTTGTAACTAAAAAATTTAACAACCAGAAATACAATGAAAAAGTATACTGTTAATATATATGTGGCAGTATAAAAAATTTGATGCAAAACTGTGGTGACGCATATTATAGCAGATATGAGATCAATACTTTTCAAATGGCAGAGACTTACATGAGGAACAATGAGATTGTGATGGGGTATTAGTTAACACTGTTAATGACATTGTTGCATCTTAAAGAATAAAGAGTTTCACCCTATCTTTGGCGAATGAAGTGACAGTAATATTTGTTTCTGGAATCATTGCAAATCCTTGGTCCAAAAATGTATCCTAAGTCATGGGACACTGTTGTGAACCATGCCATGACATTTAAATCTGATACAAGTGTATGCTTTAGCTACACTCCCAACTTCCAACAAGAAACTACCGTGGTGTTTAATATTATGGGACAATTGATGGGGCTAATTGTGGAACGGACATTCATTACCGTGGACTGAAAAGGCACTCTTCTGATTCCTCAAAGTTTTTACTCATTTTCTTTCCGTCTATTAGTTGTCATTACTAACTCCTTTCTGATTGACTTTCATATCATATCAGGCGGATGCCCACAAGTTGGTAGTATCAGCATCGGAACACTGGAATGAAGTAAAATCTGTTGATAACTTGGCCATCTCTCTTGTGGGTGGCTCAAACTTGACCGTGATTGAGTGTGCTACTGGCCGTAACTTTGAGACTAATAACATTGATCTATATGTAAATACACAGCCAGCTATGTCTTCTACAAGTATCATGTCACCTGGGGGGTACAACTGGTGTTGGAAATCTGGATAATACAAGTGGCCAGCTTTCGTCATTCCAATATGCTAACTCCATGATCTGGGAACCCTTCGATATCTTTAGTTCTGAACCATTCTTTCACTCTGATGACATTGATATATATGGAAATACACAGCCAGATACGTCTGCTGCAAGTACCAGACACTTGGATCATACAAGTGGCCAGCCTTCATCTTTCCAAGGCGCTAACTAGTATGTACCTTCTCTTTTTCTTTTCTTTTATTTATTTGTTTATTTCTTTTCAGTCCATCAAAATATTTATTCCTATGTTTGGTTAGACAAACACATTACAAATGGAATCATCTTCCATGCCATTCTATCTCACTCCTCATTCCATTCCATCTCATTCCGATGAACAAATAGAGCATAATTCCAATGATTTCTCTCTACAGTCTGCAAGAAACAAATAGAGCATAAGTTCCAATGTAATTCCAATGAACAAACTACAAGAAACAAAGAGCATAAGTTCCAATGTAATTCCGATGAACAAACTCTAAGATTTCAATTCCATTCCATCTCATTTCAAAGAACAATTAGAGCATGATTTTTTATCTATACAGTCTGCAAGAAACAAATAGAGCATAAGTTCCAATCTAACTTCAGATTTTTATCTACAGTCTACAATAATCACCACCCCCCATCTCAGAATGATAAAGTATGGCGGTTGCAGGAAATTGAAGGAGTTTCTTAACTGATTTATGATAAAAGTCAGCCGTCTCAAAATATCCTGCATCGTTAAATGCATCACTGAACACAGCAACTTGTTTAAGACATGAATTTTTCCCCCTGAGGTTCTGTCTTCGATGTGGGAAAGCCTTTATTTATTTTATATATTCACGTTTAGGGCAAAATCCAAGGCACAGATCAGGGTCTACTCTGTTTCTGGCTTTCTATTCCACCTTGAAGGATTCTGCAATATGATTTCAAGGTCAGGACGTCGAGTGGGTTGATGAAGGACGCTAGCGGAGGCTGAAGTTTTGAGACCATAGTTTTGCTTTTATTTCCATTGTGTTTTCATCTGCGAACCTATGACTTGGTGTAGGCTTTGGCATAGCATATGATTGGCTTGAGTGTAATGTGCCAAACTAGTTGGGATATGACATTTAAGCAATGATGCTGGTGTCGCCAAAACTTTTTCTTTCTTGATGTAAGGCTATGTACTTGTTTTGCTTTTATTTCCATTGTGTTTTCATATGAGAGCCTATGACTTGGTGTAGGCTTTGGTGTAGCATATGATTGGCTTAAGTGTAATGTGTCAAACTAGTTGAGATATAACATTTAAGCAATGATGCAATTGTTGCTAGAACTTTTTCTTTCTTGATGTATCTGTATGTACTCCTTGTACTCCATATTACATCAATATACTTTTGCTGATAAAAATAATAATAATAATTAGGACAAAATCTATTTTATCCATTGTGGTATGGCTGTAAAACACTTCATGTTTAAAGATGGCCAAAGACCCCTACGTGGTTTTGATACTTTGGCGTTTGGTATGAGTCAATATAAAAATACAAATTAGTCTGTGAGAATTTGGGAATTGTATTGTCACGGTACTAAAATTGTTTTTTCCTCTCGTGTTAACATAGAAATAGTTTCACAACCCCCACCATTAGGAAGCTTAAATTAAGTCATGAACAGTAGTTGTCCAAAACAATAAATAATAGTAATAAAATAATAGTGAAAAAGGGAAATGATGAAGAGGAACAAACGAACTTTGTGATATTTTTTCAGTATGTAAAATTTGGTAGTGAGAACTGCTAACCCACAGAGGTGTGTGTAAATTAAATGTATAAATTAAATAAATAATAAAATAAAAATAATTTAGAAAATAATTATATAAATTATTTTCCGAATTAAACGCTTATAGAAATTAATGTCGAGGCTTGTGTTGGATACAATATCCTTAAAGTAGATTTCGCCCTTACTCCGGTGCTTCGAGTTTTACCGGCGTCTCCTTTCCAGGATGCAACGACTAAAACTTAAATTTGCAGCACTACAAATTTAAGTCTAGTGAACCAAAACTCTATTACTCTCTCTTTTTCTTCCTAAAAAATAAATGCAGAAACATATGCAAGAGCACAAGAAGAACAGAAGAAGGAGGACGAAATTCTAAGGGAAAAATTGAATGAAATGAATTACTAGAAACAGCCTTTATATAGGTAAGATTAGTGGTTGTTCGAATAGGTGCCAATAGATTGGCAATTGTTCGGACATATATCAACAGAAAGGAAATCTGTTTGAACTGTTTGGACAGTTCCAGATCTGTCCGGGAAGGATTTAATAGGTTCAAACCTGTTCGGGTGGGTTAGGATCTGTTTGGGTGGAAAGAAAAAAAATTTAGACCAATTTATTTTGAATTTTGAAACCAAAATAAAAAATAAATAAATAAATTACAAATGTTTTTGACCCGAAAAGTGAACCAACCCAACCTCACACCACGCACCCCAGGCCTAGGCGCAGCCTGCCCGACCGGACGGATGGTGGCGACGGTGCGCCTGTGTTTTTAGTTTTGGGTCCAATGGGTCTAACCCACTTCAACCATAACCTTACCCTTCCATAAACTTGGGTACCCCTTGAGGCCCATCCCAAGTTAAGGTATATAAACCCGTTCAAAACCTTAAGCCTTTCCAATGTGGGACAAGCACATTTCACAAATGTGTAGGAAACCCACCTAAAACCATTCCACGAACCCGACAACACGCGTTGAATTCTCAGTCATCCGAAAATAGTTTTGGGCAACCAAATACACGGTTTTATTCACTGCGCGGCACTAAACATGAACCCAATTAGAAAAGTTAAAAATAACGCTGGGTCCCACCTTAATTAATGCTCAAAGTTAGCAAAAAATAAGGTTATACAAAAGCCATTTTCCAACAATCCCCCACATGAATGGAATTCACGAGAACAGACATGCAACAAGATGCAGACAAAGAAAGAATACATTAAGAAAATATACCACATCGAGATAGGTAGCTTTTAGCTTTGAACCTCCTCTAGTGAAAGCCAATCGAACTTACTAGCTATCCAGTGGACGCAATGCCTTGAACTGTTCAGTTGTTTGTTTAAGCCAAGACAATAGACTACACATAGTGTATCCGTAGACATAGTTTGGTTCTTACGGTTGTGTTTATTTTGTCTAAACAACGCTTGAAAATTCATGAGTGCTCTAAAGAATTTAGCCTTCTCAATTCTCACAGAACCAGCCCAGTTTACACTCATATAGGTGATTTCTTATTAAAAATATCCTGCTATACCCCACTTGGATGTCCAAGCTATAAGAATCATTAAAAACAAAGTTTATCCTACTAACGCTGTAGGTATCACTCTTCTTATCATAGAAATGGATAGGAGTAAACCTCTTTAGTGATACATGTAGTCATCCATAATTTGATTGTCCCTTTGAACCTAGATCTTGGGATCTCCAGTCAACTAGGTTGGGTTACCATTATGGAGACTTTTAAGTAATAGGCTTTAATCTCATTCCTCTCGATAAATAGTACACTTGCTCTCTGGCTAGCCCTTTAGTCAATGGATCCACAATATTCTCCTTTGACTTTACATATTCTATGGAAATTATTTCATGTGAGAGCAAACGCCTAACGGTATTATGTCTTTGACGAATGTGTTGAGACTTACCGTTATACATATGATTCTGTGCCCGTCCTATTGCTGCTTCACTATCACAGTGAATGCATATAGCTGGCACAGGTTTAGGGCACATTGAAATGTCTTCTAAGAAATTACGAAGTCATTCTACTTCTTCTCCTATTTTATCTAAAGCGATAAATTCAAATTCCATTGTCAACCTTACTATGCATGTCTGCTTGGAAGATTTCCAAGAGACTGCAGCACCTCCCAGGGTAAAGACATATCCACTAGTGGATTTTGAGTCTTTAGTATCCGATATCTAATTTACATCATTGTACCCCTCGAGTACTGCTGGATACTTGGTATAATGTAAGCCATAATTCCGAGTATGTCTTAGATACCTAAGTACCCTAATTATTGCTTTCCAATGATCGGGCCCTGGATTACTTGTGTACCTACTCAACTTGCTTACAACATAGGCTATATCTGGCCTTATGCAATTCATTAAGTACATCAAGCTTCCGATTATCCGAGAGTACTCTAATTGTGATATGCCTATACTTGTATTTTTTGACAAATGAAGACTAATGTCAACAGGTGTTTTAGCAGGACGGTCATCATGCTTTCCAAATTTTTCCAGAATCTTCTCAACATAGTAAGATTGAGATAAAGCATATCCTTCAAATGTTCTAGTAATTTTTATTCCTAGAATTACATCTGCTACTCCTAGATCTTTCATGTTAAACTTTTTGTTCGACATTTTCTTTGTGGATTTAATCATGTTATTATTGTTTCCAATAATGAGCATGTCATCCACGTAAAGACAAACTATGACATAACCTTTGTCTGTACTTTTAACATAGACGCATTTGTCACATTCGTTTATCTTAAAACCATCCGAAAGCATAGCGTGATCAAATTTTTCATGTCATTGTTTCAGAGCTTATTTTAATCCATAAAGGGATTTGACAAGTTTACAAACCTTTTTCTCTTGGCTAGGAACTTAAAACCCTTCCGGTTGTTCCATATAGATTTCTTCATCTAATTTGCCATTCAAAAAAGCTGTTTTAACATCCATTTGATGTATTTCCAGATTATACAAAGCTACAATCGCAATCAACATGTGAATGGATGTTATTCTTGTCACTGGTGAATAGGTGTCAAAATAATCAAGGCCTTCCTTCTGCCTGTATCCCTTAACAACAAACCTAGCCTTGTATTTATCTATTGAACCATCTGCTTTCATTTTTCTCTTAAATATCCACTTATATCCAAGAGGTTTACACCCTAGTGGAAGATCCACCAGTTCCCAAGTATGATTTTGCAGTATTGATTCAATTTCACTATTCATAGTCTCTCTCCACAATGGAGCTTCAGGACTTGACATTGCTTCCTTGAAGTTTTGAGGGTCATTTTCTAACAGGTATGTCAGAAAATCTGGACCAAATGATTTAGAGATCCTAGCCCTCTTGCTACGTCTAGATTCATCTACTTCATTATCATTGTGGTCTTCACTGCTACCCATAGCAGTATCAAAAGTTTTTTAATTTGAACTTTTCCCTTTAGTTTCCTTACTAGGAAAAATGTGTTCAAAAAACGACGCATTCCTTGACTCAATAATAGTGTTTACATGCATATCCGGATTTTCAGATCTATGAACTAAAAATCTATATGCACTACTATTATTTGCATAACCAATGAACACACAATCAATAGTTTTTGGTCCTATCTTAGTCATTTTGGGACTAGGGACTGCCACCTTGGCCAAACACCTCCACACTTTGAGGTAATGGTAGGTGTGGGGGCCGAAATGTTGAGAGGCGTAAATAAGCCGAATAGATGGACCAGGAGATTCGAAATATATATAGCACATTCGGCCCTGTTTGGCCAAATAGCCAGCTAATTGAGGGGCCGAGTGGAAAGCAGTTTTGCAGCAAGAGGAGCCGAATAAGTAGTTATACAGCAAATCGGAAGTGGGCCCAACCCCAAGGCCCAAGAAAGAAAAGATATAAATAGAAGAACGTCAGATAGAAAGAGGTATGTGAGAACTAGTGTGTTTAACTTAAGATACAAGCAATTAAGAGAGTATACATTGACTTATCCGTCGGAGTGCTAATTCCGGCACCCCCGACCGGAGTGTTCATTCCTTTTCAGGTGGCTGGCTGAGGATCACGAGCATCCCCTAAGATCAGAAGAGTATTTCCAAACCACATCCCCACAATTGGCGCCATCTGTGGGAATACTCAAATACATCCATGGCGGGCGTAACGGAAGACCCTCCGATAGTCACTGATGAGACCACACAGAGAGACAACCTCACTCCAACAAACATGCTTGGACCGGAGACTATCGCCGTAAGACGCGCCTTGAACTTCGCCTCAGCCTCTACTTCAACGGATGAGACAATGCAAGGGATCATGGAACAAGCAAAGCAAAACGAACAGAGGTTGGAGAACATGATCGCTGAGAACGAACGTCTCCGTCAAGATTTGGCTTTGGAAGTGGCGAAGTCCAAACAAGCTGTACGCCAAGATCCGGAACGAGCTCTGAGGGCAGATGGTCGACGATCTCGAGCCCGCCAACAAGACACTGATAGCGACTCCGACTCATTATCCCCGGAGCCTAAGAAGAAGGGACGACCCGAAACTACCAGTTCCTCTGAAGAGAGTCTACATATAAGGCATAAGCGAAGAAGAAACAATT